CTTAAAGAATGTCATGTTGAAAAGAATAGTAAAAACAAATGAAAAAATTAAATTCTTTTAAAAATAGAAATTTGCTAAAAAAAAAATCATATTAATTTATCTTATATTTATCTAAAATTCAAAATAAATCATTAAAAATTTGATTTAATAAAATGTTTTATGTAAATAAACTAAAAAGCAATAATGAAGTCGATACAGCAGTGCATTTGTAATTTGCCAAAATATGCGTAATTTATTTATGCAATTTTCCTAAGATTTTCTTTAAATATATAGCAGAAACCCATTTCATATTATTTGTATTTATTTTCAAATTTATTTCCTCTATTTATTGAAAATAATATTACTTTTAAATACAATTTATTTTTGTTTACTTTTTCTTCTTGCTTATTTTAAACACCTGGGAGTGATAACATAATTAGTTTCAATCGATAAGGCCGTTCTTTTTTTAACATATGACTTTGACATTTTGTTTTACTTTTAATTTTTCATTTCACAGGTTTTTTGGTTATGGCATAACACGGAGTAGCATTAAATATTTACTAAAAGTACAAGTTTTTTAAATTAAAATTCACAAAAATGTTACGCACTTTAATAGGAAGCGGTAAATATTTATTATTTTCCACATTAATACGAACAAATAAACTTTTATTTCAAATTACAGCTCTTAAAGGTGCTTCATATGCCGCCACCAATGTAGTCTCAGCAGCCGCAATGCGTTCTTCAGTTGCGGCAGCTCCCTTACAGAAAGCTCTATTTTCTTCATTGCAAACTACCGCCAATTGTACAGTACCTAAACTCTACGCTCCAGTAGCCATTAACAGTAATCTTCTACAGCAAGCCGCCACCATGCAGTTGCAGACTACCCGTGATCTTACCAAATTTTCGCTCAATAAAGGTAAACGCAAGTCGGTGAAAGCGGTAATTAAACGTTTCCGACGTTTGGATTGGGGTGGCTGGGTACGCACTCATACTGGTCGTCATAAGAAGATGTTTAAGAAGTCCGCCGCCTTAAAACGTCGTTTGCGTCAACATATTTTCACCAATTCCACACAAAGTTGGTTGCTAGATTCAATGGTGGGCAAATTTTGGCGTCGCCCCAAAAATTGGGTTGACGATCCATATGCCCCCTACAATAGACGTGATGAATTCTTTGCTACGAAAATGAAATCTTTTAAAGTTTAAAATAAAACTGTTTTGTTAAAATAAAGTTAAAAGTAAATTTAAAAAGTAGAGTTGTGATATTGTATTTAAATAAGATGGAATTAAAATTAAGTGCATAGGTACATGTCATTTAATTATGTTATTAAATTATTACGTTATGTAGGGACACTATTTTAGGTAGATAACAAATAAAGACTAGACAAATATTCTCATAGACATATTTTTTCATGCAAATTGCACTAATTATGTTTGGATGCGGTATATTTTTTGAAAAAAAGTTTATCCAAATATTGTGTCATTTTGTATACTACACATTCTAATTAATATTTTGTTATTGCAAATTTTAGATTGTTATGTCATTGTCGTAATATATTGTCCTTAAATATTTTATTTTTTATTCTATTATTTTTATAATGAAAGCCGTTAAAAATATACTGTATTACCATTTCTATGAAAACAAAAAAGAAATAAAGTACTTAAAAATACAACACTGTTTGGTAAATGTTTCACTTATTGTTCTAATTAGATTTTATAGTAGTATGACGTTTAAATTGGCAATTTGATACACAACGTTCACAAGTCAGGTTGGCCGAGCGGTCTAAGGCGCCAGATTTAAGCTCTGGTTCCCGAGAGGGAGCGTGGGTTCGAACCCCACACCTGACAAACTTTCTTTTTTTTTTTTTTCTTTAACCAAACATCGAATTTTTTTATATCAGAAATGACTTGCATCTTAATTAGGGAACTAAATATACTTTTTAATAAGAATTTATTTAGCAAATAAAACATCTACATATATATTTAATTTTATACAATTATTTAAATGCACATTTTAATCACTTTTAAAGACAAATTATTGAAATAAAAAACACAATTGAACAAATTTAACAAACAATTTGGTGGAAAAAATACTTCAATTAAGGAGCCACAACTTTGTTGATCATTTTTCCCAAACATTGAATTTCACTTTCAATAACATCTCCTGGCTTCAAGTATTCTGGAGGATTACGATGCATACCAACACCCTTGGGTGTGCCAGTTAAAATTACATCACCAGGCACTAAAGTAATGCTCCTAGAAATATTTTAATAGAGTAAATTATTATATACAAAATTATATCATTATTTTCCACTTACTGTGACAAACGACTGATAATATCATCGATTTTGAAAATCATATTACCACTTATGCCATTTTGCTTTTCAACGCCATTAATTTTACAGGTCATTTGCAAATCATGTGGATCGGCAATAAGACTTTTGTGTACGATCGATGGTCCAAGAGGTAAAAAGGTGTCCATTGATTTACCTATCAAAAATTGACCACCATTACGTTCCTTCTGCCAATCTCTAGCGGATATATCTTGGGCTACACTGTAGCCAAATACATAGTCCATGGCTTGTTCACGTTTAACATCTTTGCACTTTTTACCAATAATCACCGCTAATTCGACCTCCCAATCAAGTTTCTGAAAACAAAGAAATTATTTGTATTTATTCCGTTGTTATTAGTTCTTTTGTTTTAGGAATATTCGACAAAAACTTATTTGTAGGATTCAGGAATAGCTCAGGAATTATTTTTAAATGAATCTAAATGTTATCTATATTTTTTATGTTATATTCAACCTTTTTATTATTTTTTTTATTATTCTGTTATCATTTTTGTATTAACGATAATATTTTCTAAGCTTTTCCAAATTAAATAGAAATCCCGGCTAGTAAAGTTGTTAATTGTTACTAGAACAATTTTTCTGTGACCGAAATGTAAATTTATTGCAATCTACAGTACATAAACATGCCCAAGGTAAACTGGATTTTTTAAGTATTTATAACTACAATTCTTTTATATAGAAATATAAAATCTTTTCATAAAACTTTTACTTACATTGGTCAATTTATTGGCAATAACATTGCCTAAAGGTCCCGTCAAGGTGTTATTGTATTTACTGAAGAACATAGGTTCTTTAGGTGGCTGCTTATTCTGCTCCTCACAATGATCTTTGTAATTCAAACCAATACAAATAATCTTATCCGGATTAGTAACAGGTGGCAATAAAGTAAAACTATCGTTCATTTCTTCGGTCTTGGCATCATCCAATTTCTTTTGCAATTCCGACAAGGGATAATTTTGCGATATAAAGGTTCTCATATCATTGGAGACGCATGAGCCACCCGATAATTCTACAATTTTAGTACCATCTTCAGAAACAACACCCAAACGCATACGTTCATCATTTTTACGTAAGAATTGTACAAAACGCATTTTGGGTACACTAGGAGATCTGAAAAAGAAATCATAAAATTTTTATTATTAAAATTATTAAGTAGTTTATTGTTGTTTTCTTCAAGCACTTACTTGGCACTGTGATAAGAACGCACACTGTCGTAACAAGTTCTGGTAAACAACTGTTTGATCGGTTTTTGCTGTGTGCGAATCAATAGTGTTCCCATCAATTTTAAAGCCATTTGTTGTTATGTATTATTTCGCTATTATTTTTGGTATTTTATCTAATATTTATACTTTTGATTAAATTATTATACAATAATTTTTTATTAAATACAATTTAGATTCTAAATTTTTCTAAAATATATAAAATTAACGGTTAATTTTAATTAGATTTTGAGAACGGAAAACTTGGAAATTTTCCGAAAAACAAAAATGAGCAAATAATAAAAATAAATACAGACATTCATAGAGAAATGATATCATAACAAAAGACCAGGGCTGTAATATAACATTATAAGGCAAGACACAAAGTAAATAATGTATGAAATTATTAAATTCTAAATATTTTTTAATAAATGCATACATTTTCAGTAATACAAAAAATAAGAAATAATTAGTATTAGCCAATAGTTTGGTAAAAAATAGTTTACATGTTTATTTTATTTATTTTTCATTTATACTCTTATCAGGTCGTTAAGGCAGTGTTTTTCCTCTTCCATTTCTTACTACAAAAGTTTACAAGCAGGGCTGCCAGATGAATTTTTGAAAAAATCGTCAACTTCCCTATAAATTTTTAAATAATCGTCATTTTGGTTTTAAGAAATCGTCAAAAAAATCGGAGAATATCACCCAATTTACATGATGATTTTTTTTCATGTTTGCCCAGACGTCTGTTTTCATGTTTGTCGATGATTGGCGGTGAGCGGGGTAGAGAAGAATGGGGGGTAAGAAAACAAACATGATTTGGGATTTTCATGATTGTTTTTGACATTCCTCTTTAAACTCATTCGTACTGTTGATATTATGCTCATGTAAAAAAATAATTATGTCTTTTTTTTACATGAAAACATTAAAATTTGCATTAAAAAAATACTATAGCGTGTTATTAAATTTTTTTAAATCAAATTAAATGGTTTTTATGTTAAAAATTTAATTTTGTTTTTATTACGAATAAGTAATTAAAAAGGATTATACAATTAAACATCAAAAAAAGACATGCATAGTTGCATGTAAAAAATCACCGTATAAATGTTCATGATTTTTTGGAAGATTCTCAAAAGAGAATTGGAAAAAACAGACGTCTGAAAAGTCTTCATGTAAATTGCGCCTATGAAATGCTTAAAATGTTTATAAAAAATTAAAAATATTGTAATATTTTAAGATGAAATATATTAAAAAATTTATAATATTAATACATATTTATGTAAAATTCGAAAAATACGGAATATTATTGCTCAAAATTCAATAAACTTTGAGTTTTGAAGAATATTCGATAGTAATATTAATTCTTTTCTAATGTTCTCATAATGTTTTCAATGTTCTGGCATTTTTAAAAATATCAAACATAACTACTGCTAAAATTTACATAGTGTACACATATAGTTTTTAGGTATAGAAACTTGTTCATCTTTTTCCTTAAATTTCTCAAAGTTTGTTGCATCACAATATTGCTTGTTTTGGTGCACAAGGAATATTTTAATATTTTTAAGCAAAAAACTGTTTTTTAAATTATTGAAAGTTTTCTGTAAACAAGTACTTATCCAGAAACAGTTTCAAGGAAAAAATCGTCAAATCGTCACTTTGCTATTTTTGAAACGAAGAATCGTCAAATCTGGCAGCTATGTTTACAACCCAGCCATAAATTGACAGTTCACAGCTGCTGAGGGAGAGGAAGGTAATTTTTTTTTGCGAATTTCTTTTGCAATTTAAAAAATATATAAAAAATATAAATTTAAATTTATTATATTCACTACAGTAATTAAAAGAACCTACTTAAAACACTTCATTTGAAAAAGCAACAATATGGCTATGTTAGCTAAAACATTTGGACGCACATTGATGCAAGTAAGTAAATTTACAGAAAAAAGTCTTATGCGGCTCAACCAACTGCTTACATAAACATTTTTTTCTTCTGCCTTAATGGAATACGAGTATTTTTAATTAGAAGCAAATTTAGAGACACTGCTTTTGAGGTTATAATCCTTTTTACAAAATATTTACTATAAAAATTATTTGGAAAAAATTTTAAACTAATAAATTTGTTAAACATTTTTCAGGGCCTACAAACTTCGGCTGCTCGTTCTATTCATACTACAGCTGCTGTCAATTCGGTAGGTAGTTTTCAATTTGTATGGGCATTATCATTGCTAATTTTATACCACGTCTTTTAGGATCCTGGTGTACATGGTGGTAACCGAACCACTTGCACTCTCATCCCTGGTGATGGTGTTGGTCCCGAATTGGTCTATGCCTTGCAAGAGGTTTTCAAGGTAATTATCAAAATATGTACCTAGTAGTTTAAAGGTTTTATAGCATTAATTGGATATATTTTTTGTTTTATTTTTAAAGGGTGCTGATGTCCCTGTCGATTTTGAATCTTATTTCCTTTCCGAAGTTAATCCCGTGTTGAGTGCTAAATTGGAAGATGTTGTGGCTTCTATTCAAAAGAATAAAGTTTGCATTAAGGTAAGTGAACGAATAATATAAATGTGATGTTTCATGTTAAGTTATTTATTTAATTAAATGGCTTTAAAAGAATTAATAAGAATTTATGCAAAGTTAAGTTAAATTTTAATCATAAAATTTGGAATTTACCTGAAAACATCTTAAAATTTTGAATTTATCTAAAAGCTTTATTAAAAATCTAATATCAAATATAAAGCTTCATTTACGATATATGTAATGCCTTTTCAATCAATTTTATTATATTTAGGGTATCTTAGCCACTCCCGATTATAGTGTAGCTGGTGAATTGCAAACTCTCAACATGAAACTACGTAACGAATTGGACTTGTACGCCAACGTTGTACATGTACGCAGTTTGCCCGGTGTTAAGACACGTCATAAGGACATCGATACCGTTATTATTCGTGAACAAACCGAAGGTGAATATTCTGCCTTGGAACATGAATCGGTGCCCGGTATTGTTGAATGTCTTAAGATTATCACTGCCAAAAAATCTATGCGTATTGCCAAGTTTGCATTTGATTATGCCACCAAAAATGGCCGTAAGAAGGTTACTGCCGTACACAAAGCCAATATCATGAAATTGGGTGATGGTTTGTTCTTGAAGTGTTGCGAAGAAATGGCTAAATTATATCCACGTATACAATTTGAGAAAATGATTGTTGATAATACAACCATGCAAATGGTATCGCATCCTCATCAAGTGAGTACTTATTTTCGCTTACAGTTTAAGAGTAAATATTAAAGATTTATGTTAACTTTTTAGTTTGATGTTATGGTTACTCCCAATTTGTATGGTAACATTGTTGATAACTTGGCCACCGGTTTGGTGGGTGGTGCTGGTGTTGTAGCTGGTGCTTCTTACTCCTCGGAAACTGTAGTATTTGAACCTGTAAGTTTTATTTGTAACAATACATTTATTGAATTTGCTAAATCATTTTACCTTTCCTTACTATTCAGGGTGCACGTCACACTTTCGCCGAAGCTGTTGGCAAAAATATTGCCAATCCCACCGCCATGTTCTTGTGCGGCACTAAAATGTTGCGTCATATTAATTTGCCATCCTACAGTGAAAGAATTCAAAGTGCCCTTCTACGTGTACTTAGCGATGGTAAAGTGAAAACCAAGGATGTGGGTGGTCAATCTACAACTCAAGATTTTACACGTGCCGTTATTGCCAACATTCAATAAAAAGCTTACAACTAGAACCGACAATAAAAGTTTCTAATGTTGCTTTGGTTTACTTACTTTCCTTTACACCGACCGACAGACAACAAAAACTCAAAAATACACACAACACCAAATATTAAGTTATATTATGAAGAAAAGAAATGTAAATACAAATGGCCAACAATTAAGTTATAACTCTTAAACAAATTGCTATTTGTTTTAAAGTTTCTTACTAGTGAAAAGAGAAAAAAAAAACTAAGTTTATTGTTTTATTTGATGATTATTAATTTAATTAATTTTTAAATCCTTTGAGTATTAATTTGGCGAATATTTTATTTAATTCATTTATTTCTTTATTAAGTTTAGTGAATTGTATTTATGCTCTTGTCCCATATGTCCTCCGTTTAGTATCCACATCAAATGTATTGTTTATTTTTAGTTTTTTTTTGACCCCCACCCTCCTACTTATACTCGCCCCTTATTATGGTAGTTGTGCGATTTTTAATTATTTGTTAAAATGAAAACAATTTATTAAAAGTGCGTTATGTTAAGAAAATTATTTATATTATTTATAACGTACTGTAGTTATCATACATATAAACAATCGTCTCAAATTGCATGCAAACACTATAATAAACGTAAAACAACTAAAATGTAATATGTTATAACAACAAAAAATAAAAAAAACGTATAACAACAATTATTGAAAGAAATGTGGGAAATTGTTTTATTGTTGGGGGAAATAGTTTTTGACTAAGAGAAACATTTTCTCAAAAAACGCTCTATAAATGATAGATGTATGTATGTATCTTTTTATAAAGAATTTAGGAAATTTGTAAAAATTTCAAAAACTCTTTAAAGATATAAAATTTTCGAAAAATACTCCAACAATTGAGAAATTTTCGAATATTTTCTAAAACTTTATAATCAAACGAAATTTATCTTAAATTTTAGTTTTAATCGAAAATTCTTTAAAATTGGAGTATTTATCAAAAATTCTAACTTTGTATTGTTTTGCAAACATTACTTAGCACTAGTTTTTGGTTGGGCCAACTGTTTAACACGCGCTGAAGCTTTAGCTTTTAAAGCTAACCTAGAAACTTTATAAGGATTTGCTCTTATGTGTATATTATAGTAATCCTTAGGAGTAGCCAACTCTTTAATACGTTGAGTAGCTATAGCTCTTAAAGCTTTTGGTTTTATTTTAAAAGGATTTTTCTTTTTCGCCTCCTGTAAGATTTTGTGGTTGATATTATTAGGTTTAGCAAGTTCTTGAATTCTTAAAGTGGCTAAAAAATAGATAATGAAAATATATTTTTATACCCACCATCAAAAAAGATGGGGGGTATATTGATTTTGTCATTCCGTTTGTAACACATAGAAATATTGGTCATAGACCCACAAAAGTATATATATTCTGGGTCCTCATTAAATTCTAAGACGATCTAGCCATGTCTGTCCGTCCGTCTGTCTGTCTGTCTGTCTGTCTGTCTGTTGAAAGCACGATAGAGTCCGAGTGGAAAGAGCTAGAGGGTTGAAATTTTACATAAATATTTCTTATAGGTAAGGTTTGTTTGGTATTGAAAATGGGCAATATCGGTCCACGTTTTCGGATAGCCCCCATACAAGTGGCCCCTCGAAAAGCAGCTTTAACAGCCATAATTTGTTTAAAAATACGAATATAGCGATGAAATTCGACATAAGTAAGTTTCTTATGATCCAAAATCAATATGCGAAATTTTATGAGGATCGGTTCATAATTGACCCTACCCCCCATATAAGGTCCCCTTCAGAAAATGACTTTAACGCTCATTACTGGCATAATACTAGTATATAGATGAAATTCGACATAAGTAAGTTTCATTCGAGTCAAAATCTATCTAAAAAATTTTATGAGGATTGGTCCATGATTGACCCTACCCCCCATATAAGGTCCCCTTCAGAAAATGACTGCAACGCTTATTAATGGTTTAAAAATACGAGTGTAGCGATGAAATTCGACACAAATAAATTTAATACGAACCAAATTCTATCTACCAAATTTTATGAGGATCGACCCATAATTGACCCTACCCGCCTATATATGGTCCCCTTCAGAAAATTACTTTAACGCTTATAACTGGCCTAAATATACGAGTATATAGATGAAATTCGACATAAGTAAGTTTCATTCGAGTCAAACGAGGTTTGATGGTGGGTATATAAGATTCGGCATAGCCGAATATAACACTCTTACTTGTTTAATTATTTATATAGTTTAATTACCCTGGTAACTTAAAGCCTTTTCGGGCACTTTAAATGGGTCTTTATAGTCGTTGTTATAATACATTTTTGGTTTAGCTAACTCACATAGTCGTCTAGTGGGTTTATAATGTTTTAATGCCTTCGTTAGTACCCATGTTTTTGGTTTATATTCTGGATATTTTTTAGGTTTACTTAATAGCTTTATACGATTTTGAAGTTTACTTGCATAAGCCTCTTTTAAGCTTTTTAGTTTAGAAACTTCAGTTGGGGGTTTAAGTTGTTTTTGTAAAATTTCCTTTTGACATTTCTTTTTCAAATGTTTGGATTTGCAACTAAAATGGATTAGATTATAATATTGACCCATTATTTATAAAAAATTTAACCACTTACGTTTTCCCTTTCTGTGTATTTTGATATTTTTTTAAATTTTTATCTGACTCGATTCTTTTTAATTTCGCAAGCTTTCTGCAAAGTTAATAATTGTATATCATTAAAATTCCATATACTGCCTTATCCAAATACCTATCATTCATTCGGTTCCTAAATACATTATCGTTTTTATCTTTACTTATTAATTTAGCTTTTATGTGATGTAGAGGTGCACATTTTTCATGAAAAATTGGTTCAATCTCTTTAGGTTCGGAAAAGCAGCACAAATTTGTCTTGCACATTTTCGTCTTATTATTAAGTTGACATAATTTTGTATAATCGTTCTCAATTTCTCTGCGTATGCAATTGTCATGGTGGATTGGATATATATGATTTTGTGGGCAACATTTTAGACTATAATCACGCATAACTTTTTTTACATGAACGTATTTAACTGTTAATTTTATTTATTTCACATAAATTTATTAAACATTGCATAATAATGCAGTAAAACTTAAAATTTTAATAAATTTTCTAATATTTATAAAATTTTTGTTTTTATTAATTTTAAAGAAAGATTCTAAATCGATAAATGTTTAACTTTTTCCTTAAGAATGAATCCTATTCGAAATCGGTTCGGTAAGCGTATCGTTCTACTGTAGGGGTAATAGTTGATACATACGAATGAGATTCTCGAGTATTATTTATAGCTATAAAATCCTTTAAATTAATTATATTTGGACCTTAATTTCTCTACTAAATTTCTTTATACCGAGTATAGGTATTAATATTAAAATCGACTTAAATAAGAAGTTCCAATAAATCACACTCGGTAAAGTTCGATACACTACTGAAATAATTAGGTTCTTCATTAGAAAATCTGTTTAAATATCGTATTAAATTAAGTCTTTGATAATACCCTATGTCCTCATATAAGAGTTTTTTCTTTCGTAATATATTTTATATATTTCAAGATTGGGAACCGTTTCGAAACGGTGAAGAGATAGCGGTATACGTATTTAAACTTATTTCCGTAACCTTATTTTATTGCTTACTGCCAAGAGTTAAGCTTTACTTAGGTCTTATGGGTCCCTTTGTATTGTCTGTAAAGAAAGATAGTAAGAGGGAAAGGTGGAAGAAAAAGAGAAAGGAGATAGTCTAAGAGAACGAGGATAAAGAAAACAAATTTAGACGAAAAGATGAACAGTCTCCTTGTTAAAATGATAAAGTTCACAACAAAAAATTTAGAAATAATAGGATACGTTCCAGTTGAACGTTTGACAGATCAGATAGATCAGAGAAATGTGACGATCCTAACGTTCGATAGCGAATCGTTTCTAGGGCCGTTCAGTTACACAGAAGATTAGAAATTGTTTCCTCCTCATTCTCATTTTCTTAGCTTCTACAGAAGTCGTTATATGGAAGACTCATAACTCTTGCATGGTTTCCAAACATGCAATGACCAGTACTAACTGCTAAAAGAGCGCTCAGATGCATTCTGCTGAGACCTACTAGATAGGATGTTCTGTGATCGGTAACGGTATCTTAGTATTATCAGTATTTTGGTTTAATTCGGTACTTCGATAACGGTATTTTAGCGGTATTGGCATTTTAACTTATTACGGTAACGGTATGTTATGGTTATCGGTATTTTGGCTTAATTCGGTATCGGTATTTTAGCAATAGCAGTAACGGTAGTAGTGCTGAAAAGGTATTTTTGTATCAATGGGAGCTTAGGGATAACTGTTGTCAATATAAATAAATGAGATAATCATTAAAGTAAAATCTTTGTGCAACAACCAATATAGATCCCACCTTTATAAATCGTTTGAACATCCCATCGCTATTTAAAAAAATTCTCATCAAAAGTTATTATCAAACTTTTCATTTCTGAAAAAAATTCCAACGAGTAAAAACGTAAAAATTTTCAGTTAAATATTATTCATAAAAAAATATTTTAAAATTTCCAAAAAAAAAAAAAAAAAATAAGAAAAATGTGGCTAAAAGAAACCAAACCTGAGTGTTGCGTGGAGCACGAACCATTGCCAGCAGATATTCAATGTTTGACTCCCGATATTTGTCGAGAATTGGGTCGTTTGTATTATAAACATTGTAAAACGTTTGTTAGAAATCAACGTATAATAGAATTGGCCAAATCGAAATCCAGAAAACGTGTTCATCGCGTTATAAATAGATGTCCTTGTTATCTAAAGAAATCCATAGAAATAATACGTTTAGATCAGAGGGCTAATACTAGAACAGAACAATTGGCTTTTCCAAGAGCTAGGTAATATAGTTACATACATAATTATTTAAAAAGGAAACATTGTTTTATTTTTATTTCATTGTGGTTCTTAATTTCAGACATTTGCTTTTATTTAAGGAACAAATTCTTCGACTTTTTTCTTCTGAACGTATTTTGAACTTAAATCGTTTAATACGCAAAAGTTTATTTTCATTATACAGTCGTTTGGCGAATGTACAGCCGCCTCAGGAAAGGTATGTTTAAAAATCTTTTGTATGGAATTTTATGTTTAAAGAGGAACGTTTTCTAGGAAACCTATAAAGAAATGGGACAGTTCAGATTGGGAAAAACATACAAAAATATTAAAAAAATTGGCCAAACCTAAAGTCGCTCCCAAACCACCAGCAATGGTAAGTCCTTTACCTTTAGTTTTCAACTCATACCTTGATGTCGAAAGAAATATGAGTGAAATTATAAAAAAATCATTTATAGAGGGATTATGAGATTTTATCAAACCATTTTTCTCAATTTCAGCCCGTCAAAAGAATGCCTTTGCGTCAAATGAAACGTTATAAATACTTGGCAAAACCTAAAAAATCACAATATGTCGAAAAGGCCGACTGGGTGTTTACCTATGAAATGCGTACCCATAAAGCATCGGAACGTACTAAAAATCTAGCGAAACCGTTAATACGAGATACAACAATGTTATACCAAGATTTACCCATAAAAATACCACTAGGCGTCTTAAAACATAAAGGTTAAGTCCATGTTGAAAAGACATTTATTTATGAGTCATTACTAAAGTTTAAATTTACTTATTTCAACAGCTTCCAAACGTATTATAGAATTAGCCGAACCTAATGCCCGACGTACGGGACAAGCGGCACCATCCGATTTGAAAGAGAATCCCTTTGGTATATCACCGAATGCCCTTAAGACTAAGGCCTCTAAACGTACCCAAGAATTGGCCGAACCAAAAGAGTATGAAAATAAACATATACGCGATGATCCGTATGCCATATCGAAAGCGGCTTTGAACGCTAAGGCCAAGCCACGTACTATAGAATTGGCCCAGCCGAAGAAGCTTTAAAGAAATTGTTAGTTAAATAGTGTTTAAAGTTATATTTTGTAAATAAAATTATAAGATTTTGTTATTAAAAAAGCAAATAAATTGTCTATTGGGTTTCATAATCTAAACAAGGAATTTTAAGGGTAGGGTTCAAAGTAGGACCAACCATAAAGAAAGTATCTATCTACTAACTAACTAACTAACTAACTACTAACTAACTAACTAACTAACTAACTAACTAACTACTAACTAACTAACTACTAACTAACTAACTAACTACTACTAACTAACTAACTAACTAACTAACTAACTAACTAACTAACTAACTAACTAACTAACTACTAACTAACTAACTAACTAACTAACTAACTAACTAACTAACACTAACTAACTAACTAACTAACTAACTAACTACTACTAACTAACTAACTAACTAACTAACTAACTAACTAACTAACTAACTAACTAACTAACTAACTAACTAACTACTACTAACTAACTACTAACTACTAACTAACTAACTAACTAACTAACTAACTAACTACTAACTAACTAACTAACTAACTAACTAACTAACTAACTAACTAACTAACTAACTAACTAACTAACTAACTAACTACTAACTAACTAACTAACTAACTAACTAACTAACTAACTAACTAACTAACTAACTAACTAACTAACTAACTAACTAACTAACTAACTAACTACTAACTAACTAACTAACTAACTAACTAACTAACTAACTAACTACTAACTAACTAACTAACTAACTAACTAACTAACTAACTAACTAACTAACTAACTAACTAACTAACTAACTAACTAACTAACTAACTAACTAACTAACTAACTAACTAACTAACTAACTAACTAACTAACTACTACTAACTAACTAACTACTAACTAACTAACTACTAACTAACTAACTAACTAACTAACTAACTACTAACTAACTAACTAACTAACTAACTAACTAACTAACTAACTAACTAACTAACTAACTAACTAACTAACTAACTAACTAACTAACTAACTAACTACTAACTAACTAACACTAACTAACTAACTAACTAACTAACTAACTAACTAACTAACTAACTAACTAACTAACTAACTAACTAACTAACTAACTAACTAACTAACTACTACTAACTAACTAACTAACTAACTAACTAACTACTAACTAACTAACTAACTAACTAACTAACTAACTAACTAACTAACTAACTAACTAACTAACTAACTAACTAACTAACTAACTAACTAACTAACTACTAACTAACTAACTAACTAACTAACTAACTACTAACTAACTAACTAACTAACTAACTAACTAACTAACTAACTAACTAACTAACTAACTAACTAACTAACTAACTAACTAACTAACTAACTAACTAACTAACTAACTAACTAACTAACTAACTAACTAACTAACTAACTAACTAACTAACTAACTAACTAACTAACTAACTAACTAACTAACTAACTAACTAACTAACTAACTAACTAACTAACTAACTAACTAACTAACTAACTAACTAACTACTAACTAACTAACTAACTAACTAACTAACTAACTAACTAACTACTAACTAACTAACTAACTAACTAACTAACTACTAACTAACTAACTAACTAACTAACTAACTAACTAACTAACTAACTAACTAACTAACTAACTAACTAACTACTAACTAACTACTAACTAACTAACTAACTAACTAACTAACTACTAACTAACTAACTAACTAACTAACTAACTAACTAACTAACTAACTAACTAACTAACTAACTAACTAACTAACTAACTAACTAACTAACTAACTAACTAACTAACTAACTAACTAACTAACTAACTAACTAACTAACTAACTAACTAACTAACTAACTAACTAACTAACTACTAACTAACTAACTAACTAACTAACTAACTAACTAACTAACTAACTAACTAACTAACTAACTAACTACTAACTAACTAACTAACTAACTAACTAACTACTAACTAACTAACTAACTAACTAACTAACTAACTAACTAACTAACTAACCTAACTAACTAACTAACTAACTACTAACTACTAACTAACTAACTAACTAACTAACTAACTAACTACTACTAACTAACTAACTAACTAACTAACTACTAACTAACTACTAACTAACTAACTAACTAACTACTAACTAACTAACTAACTACTAACTAACTAACTAACTAACTACTAACTAACTAACTAACTAACTAACTAACTACTAACTAACTAACTACTAACTAACTAACTACTAACTAACTAACTAACTAACTAACTAACTAACTAACTAACTAACTAACTAACTAACTAACTAACTAACTAACTAACTAACTAACTAACTAACTAACTAACTAACTAACTAACTAACTAACTAACTAACTAATAACTAACTAACTAACTAACTAACTAACTAACTAACAATAACTAACTAACTAACTAACTAACTAACTACTAACTAACTAACTAACTAACTAACTAACTAACTAACTAACTAACTAACTAACTAACTAACTAACTAACTAACTAACTAACTAACTAACTAACTAACTAACTAACTAACTAACTAACTAACTACTAACTAACTAACTACTAACTAACTAACTAACTAACTAACTACTAACTAACTAACTAACTAACTAACTAACTAACTAACTAACTAACTAACTACTAACTAACTAACTAACTAACTAACTAACTAACTAACTACTAACTAACTAACTAACTAACTAACTAACTAACTAACTAACTAACTACTAACTAACTAACTAACTAACTAACTAACTAACTAACTACTAACTAACTACTAACTAACTAACTAACTAACTAACTAACTAACTAACTAACTAACTACTAACTAACTACTAACTAACTAACTAACTAACTAACAACTAACTAACTAACTAACTAACTAACTAACTAACTAACTAACTACTAACTAACTAACTAACTAACTAACTACTAACTACTAACTAACTAACTAACTAACTAACTAACTAACTAACTAACTAACTAACTAACTAACTAACTAACTAACTAACTAACTAACTAACTAACTAACTAACTAACTAACTAACTAACTAACTAACTAACTAACTAACTACTAACTACTAACTAACTAACTAACTAACTAACTAACTAACTAACTAACTAACTAACTAACTAACTAACTAACTAACTACTAACTAACTAACTAACTAACTACTAACTAACTAACTAACTACTAACTAACTAACTAACTACTAACTACTAACTAACTAACTAACTAACTAACTACTAACTAACTAACTAACTAACTAACTAACTAACTAACTAACTAACTAACTAACTAACTAACTAACTAACTAACTAACTACTAACTAACTAACTAACTAACTAACTAACTAACTAACTAACTAACTAACTAACTAACTAACTAACTAACTAACTAACTAACTAACTAACTAACTAACTAACTAACTAACTAACTAACTAACTACTAACTAACTAACTAACTAACTAACTAACTAACTAACTAACTAACTAACTAACTAACTAACTAACTAACTAACTAACTAACTAACTAACTAACTAACTACTAACTAACTAACTAACTAACTAACTAACTAACTAACTAACTAACTAACTAACTAACTAACTAACTAACTAACTAACTAACTAACTAACTAACTAACTAACTAACTAACTACTAACTAACTAACTAACTAACTAACTAACTAACTAACTAACTAACTACTAACTAACTAACTAACTAACTAACTAACTAACTAACTAACTACTAACTAACTAACTAACTAACTAACTAACTAACTAACTAACTAACTAACTAACTAACTAACTAACTAACTAACTAACTAACTAACTAACTAACTAACTAACTAACTAACTAACTAACTAACTACTAACTAACTAACTAACTAACTAACTAACTAACTAACTAACTAACTAACTAACTAACTAACTAACTAACTAACTAACTAACTAACTAACTAACTAACTAACTAACTAACTAACTAACTAACTACTAACTAACTAACTAACTAACTAACTAACTAACTAACTAACTAACTAACTAACTAACTAACTAACTAACTAACTAACTAACTAACTAACTAACTAACTAACTAACTAACTAACTAACTAACTAACTAACTAACTAACTAACTAACTACTAACTAACTAACTAACTAACTAACTACTAACTAACTAACTAACTAACTAACTAACTAACTAACTAACTAACTACTAACTAACTAACTAACTAACTAACTAACTAACTAACTAACTAACTAACTAACTAACTAACTAACTAACTAACTAACTAACTAACTAACTAACTAACTAACTAACTAACTAACTAACTAACTAACTAACTAACTAACTAACTAACTACTAACTACTAACTAACTAACTAACTAACTAACTAACTAACTAACTAACTAACTAACTAACTAACTAACTAACTAACTAACTAACTAACTAACTAACTAACTAACTAACTAACTAACTAACTAACTAACTAACTAACTAACTACTACTAACTAACTAACTAACTACTAACTAACTAACTAACTAACTACTAACTAACTAAACTAACTAACTAACTACTAACTACTAACTAACTAACTAACTAACTAACTAACTAACTAACTACTAACTAACTAACTAACTAACTACTAACTAACTAACTAACTAACTAACTAACTACTAACTAACTAACTAACTACTAACTAACTAACTACTACTAACTAACTAACTAACTAACTAACTAACAACTAACTAACTAACTAACTAACTAACTAACTAACTAACTAACTAACTAACTAACTACTAACTAACTAACTAACTAACTAACTAACTAACTACTAACTAACTAACTAACTAACTACTAACTAACTAACTAACTAACTAACTAACTAACTAACTAACTAACTAACTAACTAACTACTAACTAACTAACTAACTAACTAACTAACTAACTAACTAACTACTAACTAACTAACTAACTAACTAACTAACTAACTACTACTAACTAACTAACTAACTACCTAACTAACTACTACTAACTACTAC